TCTCCCTCTCCCTCCGTCTGCAGCTCCCCCTGCTTGTGCTCTCTCTAATAAATAAATAAAATCTTAAAAAAATAAATTTCCCACTTTCTCCCAGCACCTGTTTCAAATATTTATCATACCAAGTTCTCAGCTTATCCCATTCCACTTCCTCTCTTCTGTGATGACCTAGCCTCCTACTCCACCAAGGATACCAAGAGCTACAAACTCCTTTGATGTCCCTCCCCTCTACCTCCAAAGTGATATCCCCCGCTCTAGCTTGGAAGAGGTTTTCCAGCTCTTCCTCATGTCTTCACATCCCTCTCTCCACAAGCCATATTCCATTGTTTGGTGCCCATCTTCCTTCTTACTCTCCTCTACTTAAAAACATATTCAAACTACCTAATCATAAAAATTCTTCTCTCAATCCTGGTTCACAGTCAACTATCCACTTTTCCATTTACTGACTTCTGGAAGTATGGTTTATACCAGTTGCTGTGGCATCCAAACCTCCCACTATTTTAAACTCCCACCACTAAAATCAACAAAACCCTTTTAATTGCCAATCCAATAGCATCTTTTCAGTTCTCCATCACTTACATGCAAAATAATTGTGTCCTTGCTTGGTTTGCATTACATGACTTTCCTGATTTCCTTCCAAGCATCCGTTCTTTGTCATCTACTCTAGACTCTCAAAGATCTACCATTACCCAGTTTGGTAATTCAAATATGTTTATATTTGATGACGCTCAAATCACTATCTCCATCCCCATCACCCACCTGACCCCACATCTATTGTTTTGTTCCTACCGACAACTCCTAGATGCCACAGACTCTAAAATTTGGCATCAAAAAACAAAAATAAAAATAGAAAAATCACAAACTTCTCTCTAATCAATCACATACAATCCAACCAGATCTTAGCACACAGTAACCACAGTGAATAACTGGCTTGCAACAGAAATGAAATAAATGCAGTACAAAAACCCTTGCTAAGCCTTCTTATTTTTTTTTAAGCTCCTCTATTAACCAATCATTAGTTCTTCTGGTACGAAACTAAACTATATCTTCCCATAAAAACCTGTTCCTCTTCCTTTTTTTTTAGTACTATGAAACATTTATTCCTAGGAAATACTAAAACCTCAGAATCACTTTCTGTTCCTCTGGCTTCCCTCACTTTTAATTGATATATACCTTTAAAAATGTCTTTTTTTTTTTAGGATTTTTATTCATTTATTCATGAGAGAGACAGAGAGAGAGGCAGAGACACAGGCAGAGGGAGAACCAGGCTCCATGCAGGGAGCCCAATGCGGGACTTGATCTGGAGATGCTGGGATCACACCCTGAGCCAAAGGAAGATGCTCAACTGCTAAGCCACCCAGGCATCCCTAAAATGTCTTTCAAACCTATGCAACTTGTTTGGAAATGCATACAAAAAGTAGGATAGAGGCACCTGGCTGGTTTAGTCAGAGGAGCATGTGACTCTTGATCTTGGGGTTGTGAGTTTGAGCCCCATATTGGGTGTACAGATTACTGAAAAAATTTACTTAAAAAAGTAAGATAGATGTGGTGAAGCAAATATAATAAATGCTAATTACAGAGTCTAAGTAGTGGCTCTATAGATATTTACTGTGTAGTTCTTTCAACTATTCTGTATGTTTGAAAAGTTTTGTAGTAAGATGTCGAAAAAAATCTGTGTACATTCATATTGTTCCAATGCTTGCTTTTTTCTTTTTTTTTACCTCTCTTCTGAACTACTCTAAGACCATAACTAAGCTGTTTCCCCAGTCTTTCCCATCGTAATCACCCTCCAAGATGGCTCCCAATGATCCCTGCCTGCAGGTATTTGCACCTTTGTGGAGATGGCTCCATATTATACTGGAATTGGTCTCTCTGGTCAATAGCATACAGCAGAAGTGATGGGCTATCACTTCTGAGATTAGGTTGAGAGACCGCAGCTTCTGGATTCCAGATCAGTACTCTCTGATAATTCATTCTAGAGTAACATGTAGATCACCTAAAGATCCTGTTAAAATCTGATTCTGGAGGGTAGTTAGGGGCAGGGCCTGAGATACACCCTTCCCAACAGGCTCCTAAGTGATGCCGATGCTGCTAATTCAGGGACCAAACTACTGTGCTCTAAATATAGCTACCAAGGAAAGGAAAGAAAACAGGGAAGGTTAGATTTCCATTTTCTTCCCCTGTCACATTTAAACATGTAAATATAGAGTCAAGTCTTTGTAGTGGTTCAGTGCAACACCAGCTCAGTACATTCAATACCACAGAGCAGTGCTTCTCAAACATGAATAGGCATACGAATCCCTGGGGAATCTTACTAAACTGCAGCATTAAGTCTGGAGCAGGAGAGATCCTGCATTTCAAACAACTTCCAGGAGACAATGAAGTTTCTGGTCCATAGACCACACTTTTTTAGTAACAAGGTTTTAAAAGTTTTAAGAATACTGTTCTTGATTTAAGAATACTGCAAGTCCGGGATCCCTGAGTGGCGCAGCGGTTTGGCGCCTGCCTTTGGCCCAGGGCGCGATCCTGGAGACCCAGGATCGAATCCCATATCGGGCTCCTGGTGCATGGAGCCTGCTTCTCCCTCTGCCTGTGTCTCTGCCTCTCTCTCTCTCTCTCTGTGACTATCATAAATAAATAAATTGAAAAAATTAAAAAAAAAAAAAGAATACTGCAAGTCCAAGTATAAGTCATCAGTTTATTGGTCTTCTCCTCTGTGGTCTAGTTTGTCTCCTTATAGGCCAAACATTTTATCACTCTAATCTACCGTGGGTTTCCTCAGCCTACTTATTCCAGATTTTTACACACACACACACACACACACACACACAAATATAACTCTTCTCCACAATTAATCTCTCACTACATGTTTCTCACATAATTTTTTTAAGATATGACTATGATAGCATAAAGCCACCCTTTTTAAAAAAGAGATTTTTATTAATTTATTTGAAAGGGTGGGGGGAGCAGAGCAAGGGGGACAGGAAGACTCCACACTAAGCACAGAGTCTGATGCAGCCGGACCCCAGGACCCTGAGATCATGACCTGAGTTAAATCAAGAGTCAGACACCCCGGTGCCCTGAAACCCACCCCTTTAAAGTATACAATTCAATTTTAGTATATTAAAAGTCGTACAATCATCATCACTATCTAATTCCAGAATATTATCATCACCTCAAAACAAACCCCGTATCCTTTACCATCACCTCAAAGTCCCCAGTTCCTCAGCCCCTGGCAACTACTAACCTTCCTGTCCCTATAGATTTACCTATTCTGGACATTTCATATAAATGAACTCATACAGTACGTGGTCTTCATGTAGCCTGATGTTTACAAGGTTCATCCATGTCGTAGAATGTATCAGTACTTAGTTCCTTTCTATGGCTAAATAATTTCCTCTCAAATGAAATCTATCATATTTTATCTATTCATCAGCTGATGGCCATTTGGGTTATTTCCACTTTTTGGCTATTCTGAATAATGTTGCCATGAACATGCTTGATGTTCTTAAAAACATGCAAGTCTTTATGTAGGCATGTTTTCAGTTCTCCTGGGTACATCTAAAAGCAAACTTGCTGAGTAATATACTAACTCTATGTTTAACGTTCTGAGGAACTGCCAAACTATTTTCCAAAGCAATGAACTATTTTATATCCCTACCAGCAATATATGGGCATTTCACTACTGCATTTTCAACCCATGAAGATGTTCTAATTACTGAATGGAAAGAGAGGTGTGCTCCCCCCAACTACATAATAATTCACTGCTAAAAATACTTAATTAACAAAAGAGAAGTATATTTCCCACAGGAACACAAGGAGTAAAATGTTATAAGTCCGACTGTAGAGGTTTCCCCTGCTATCTGAAAATAGAACATTCCTATGAAATCTTCTGTAAAGCCAAAATGGCATAAAGAAAAAAAAAAAGCAATTACCATTAATTTTTATGAAAAATGTTTCAGCATTCCCAGGCTCCTCAAATAACCTTTCTTAGGCTTTTCTGATACCTTAGGACATATCTTGCCAACAAATACACAAAATAAATGGAGATAAAGCACAGAGGCTCATAGACACAGTTCAGAGTAATGGCAGTGTGATGCTGAGAAGCTGAGTGTAGTTCCCAGGGAAGGAGATTGGCGGTGCCACCCTTACTGCCCAGTTGCGCACTGCCTCTACTACTGCTTGCTGCAAAACAAACACTGAAGCTATTCTCACTTTTCAGCTTCTTTCCTAAAAGCCAAACTCCTCTCCAGACTCCTTGCAGTTAGTAAAAACAGGCACTAATAATGTAGGTCCTTCCTAAAAAACCAAGTGGCAATAAAGTGAACCTTCAAAAACCCAAGGAGACCTCTACTGCCCAAGTGAGTTAACCTCTCAGGGGCCAACTATTAAATCATAAAATAGAGAGGTTGTAATGGCATTCACGTCGCAACCGCAACGTAACTTAACAATCCAAGTAAAGGTGCTTTCCAACACTGATTACTGGTGAGTTAACCCCGGACAAAGCGTTAGGGGCAAAGGTCTAAATGCCCGATCCCTCCTCCTCCTGCAGGGTTCTTTCCCGTCGGGAGGGGTTGCTGAGTGGCAGCGGGGGCTGCAGCCACCTCCCTTCTCGGGGAGAGCCGGCCATACGAGCCACGCAGGATAAATTGTTAGAGCTCCAAAAGCTTTCCAGCCCAACATCAACCCAAGGCGAGGGACTCCGCACCTTGCTACTCGGCTTATCAAGTCAGCGGAGGATCTTTCTTTTCTACTTCTTTTTTTTTTTTTTAAATGGTAGCAGACACATTTATTATGGTCGAAGAAGAAAAGGAGACGCAGAGAACACAAGCATATCCCTCCAGCCACAAACCCCGTCTGTCTCTCCAACGCACCCCCCATAAGGAAAATAAACATGAAACCCAATCCATTACGAACTCCAGAGGCTTATCAACCCCGGCGGCCCTCACCCTCCAAAGACTCCCCTTATCGAAACCCCCTGGGACAGACGGCCCGAAGCTTACCTGGTGGTTTCCTCCAGCTCGACCGCTCTCTGACCAGGCGCCTGCAGAGGCGTAGTAGCCATCCCCTCCTCCGCCTTCTCCCGGCCAGGTGGTCTCAGCAGGGCCGCCCCCGCGCACCCGCCAGGAAATGGGAGGCTGCGGAGGTTCAGGGCGAGGAGGATACGAGGGCGGAGGCGGGTGCATGGGCACGTCTCCCCCGCCGGGCCCGTAGTAGCGGCCATAGGAAGGACCGTCGCTGGGGCCGTAGCCCGAGCGCCTCAAGGCCGACATGGGCTCTAATGCCCCGCAGCGCTTCCCGCCCCCCACGGCCAGCCCATGGCGCAGGCGCCCGCCGACGAGAGGAACTGGAGAGCAGAGAAAGGGGTCGGCCGACAACAGCCAATCCTGGCTCGGGCCCGCCCCTTCGGCGGCGAGTCCCGAGAGTCGTGGGACGGAGGTCCGTGCCTCGGGGGAGGCGGGGGGCGGCTGTCTGAGAAGCTGGAGATGAGCTGCAGCCCTGCGTTTCTTAAAAGGGAGAATACGTTTTCCTTACCGTCTAGTCAATCCAGCTTCCTCTTCCCCTTTTACCAGGGGCGGGGAATGGGTGTCCCGGGACCGCGCCCCAGTCCCGCCTCTTCCGGAGGACGGGCACGTGATACCGGAAGTGGGTGGGAATAATATGGAGGCGTTTCCGGCAGGCCCCGGCTTCTGAAAGCCGGGGCGGACGTGCTGCTCCTGGTCCGGGTTCCTGTCCCGGTCCCGCCGAGGCGGCGACTGCGGTCAGAAGGAAGGAGGTGTTGGACGCACTGGCCCGCCGCCGCTATACTCTGCAGCCTTATCTCAGCTCAAAATGAACTATATGCCCGGTACCGCCAGCCTCATAGAGGACATCGACAGTGAGTAGCTCATCTCCTCTGGGTGAAGTCGGGTGAGATCCTTCCTCCTGGGCGGACACCTCTTCAGGGGGAGCTCGTAGAAGGAGTCGGGGGCGGGGGAGTGTTTTTAGCACGCTTCTGGCTGTTCGGCGTTGACATCCTCCACGTGAGTGAAGAGCCTCAGGCACTCCATTTGTCCACCTCCTAGCCGCCTGCCCCTCTCCGGCGTCTCGCAGCCTCCACCAGCCCGTGGGCCGATAAGCCACAAGCTGTAGAATTCACTCCTGCTTTGGAGGGACGCGGCTGCCAAGACCCGGACGCCAGAGTTGCCCCTCCCCACGTCCACTCTTTCCCACCTGCAATATATCGAAGTACCAGCTTGGTACTGGTAGACGAATGAGAGTAGAGAAAGGATTCGTTAAGAAACGAACGTTTTAAAAGATAGCAGCGGTTGGACTTAATTGGCAGTAAACACAGGTTTTATGCTGTGTAGCCATTTGCAATATCCTTTTACCGTCAGGTTCTTCAGCACTTTCAGACAAAGGTATTGACTTTTCTGGAAAGGCTGAATCACTTCAAACTTATTTTTCTGTTCGACGGTTTTCTCTTACTTGTACTAAAAAGACCTCCCTTCTCTCCCCATCGTTGTTCTAAAGAAGAGTTCGGTCCTGCGCAAAAGAAAGACTCCTCTCTTTCCTTTTCTAAGCTCTCATCTGTGAATTACTCCTCAAGCAACATTTTCTAATCCTTTAAAATCCTGTGGTCCGTCTCATTAACTTATAATTGCTGCAAAAATGGTTTACACAGTTCCAAACAAGTTACAACAATCACGGTTATTATGTATGCAAATTTAAGAAGTGAGTCCCTGGGGCGCCTGCCTGCCTCTGTCAGTAGAGCTGGTGACTCTTGGTCTCAGAGTTGTGAGGTCAGCCCCACTTTGGGTTACTTAGAGAGTACTTCAAAATACAATTTTTTAAGAAATCATAAAATGTGAGTCTGTGATCATACTCTCTTCATTGTCTGAAATCATTCTTTAAGTCCAAATTAGTGGGGCGCCTGGATGGCTCAATCCGTTAGGTGTTTGCCTTCGGCTCAGGTTATGATCCCAGAGTTCTGGGATCCAGCCCCACATGGGGCTCTCTGCTCAGCGGAGCCTGCTGCTCCTCTCCCTCTGCCTGCTGTTCCCCCCTGCTTGTGCTCTCTTTCTCAGTTAAATAAATAAATAAAATATTTAAAAACAAATCAGTAAATAAATCCAAATTAGTGATTTTGCTATTGAAAGAAAACGTAGTGTGAATTGGACTGTATTTGTATATAAATAACAATTGCACAAATCCATCTGTAATGTGTAATGAAAAATTCAATTTTAGTTGTCTGTGGATGCCCTTTTGCCCCCACCTCTCATTTTATTTTATTTATTTTTTTTAAAGATTTTATTTATTTATTCATAGAAACAGAGAATGAGAGGCAGAGACACAGGCAGAGGGAGAAGCAGGCTCCATGCAGAGAGCCTGACGTGGGACTTGATCCAGGGTCTCCAGGATCACGCCCTGGGCTGCAGGCGGCCCTAAACTGCTGCGCCACCGGGGCTGCCCACCTCTCATTTTATATATGAGAATTATATGAGGCCCCTAATAAATCCTGCTGTTCTACTAAAAATAATTTTTGTTCTCAAACCCTCTAACGCCTTCTTTGTAGATTCCAAGCCCCCTCCTTTATTGAAAAGTTTGAAACCATTCCTTATGTACCCTTCGCTGTCCCCCCAACCACACACAATTTCCTCCTCTCTCCTCAGTCTTTCTGCATATGCACCCATCCTCTCATCTGAGTAGGAGGTATTCCTTTTCAGTCTGTGGTCTTTTATTATTCTTTCTTCCCCTATTTCTTCCATTAATGCCCTTTTTCTCTCGTATCTTCTCTCTCTCCCTGGATCCTTCCATTCATATATATTCTTATTCTTATCTGTCCATCTCATACTTTTTTTTTCCACTTGTGTCTCCTCATCAAACTCCCATCCCTTTTTCATATCTTTACCCCTTAACATTTTTTTAAACATTTTATTTAAAATTTTTTTTATTTATTCCTGAGAGAGAGAGAGGCAGAGACACAGGCAGAGGGAGAAGCAGGCTCCATGCAGGGAGCCTTACATGGGACTCGATCCCAGGACCCCAGGATCACACCCTGGGCCTAAGGCAGGTGCTAAACCGCTGAGCCACCCAGGGATCCCCCCTACCCCTTAACATTTTGAATCCTCTCCATTTTGATTCTACTTCCTGACCACCTTCAGTAGACCACCTCCATTATACCTGCAATCTGATTTTTGTTATCATCATACTGAAGCTGCATTCTTAAAAGGCCAAAATCTGATGCATTCTTCTGGGTTCTACCCTCTCCTCTGTAATATTGTGATACTAATACCACTGGGTTCTTAATTTTGTTTGTTTGTTTGTTTTCTCCAGCACTGGTACTTGCTAATTTTCTCACCCCTCCAACTCTTAACTGTTCCCTAAAATAGGTGGCCCCTTAGGTTCTATCTTTGGTCTGCCTCTTTGTTTGTTTGTTTTTGTTTTTTAAGATTTGTTTACTTATTTTAGGGGGTGGGAAGAGGGAGAGAGAAGCCCAAGCAGACTCCCCTCTGAGCATGAAACTCAGTCCCAGGAACCTGAGATCATGACCTGAGCTGAATTCAAGAGCCAGCTGCTCAACCAACTGAACCACCCAGGTGCCTCATGCTTTTTTCTTTAAATCTCTAGGAGAGCTCCTGGACTTTTATAATTGTATCACCTCTTTGTAGACCTATCAGAAATTGCTCTAATTCTGACCTCTTTGACATTCTAGTCTTATATTTCCAACTCCCTGTTGACATTTCTATGTAGATGCCCTGATTAGCACTTTAGAATCACAAATAACAGTCTTTCACTTTATTTTTTTTTACTTTTTATTTTTTTATTTATGATAGTCACACAGAGAGAGAGAGAGAGGCAGAGACACAGGCAGAGGGAGAAGCAGGCTCCATGCACCGGGAGCCCGACGTGGGATTCGATCCCGGGTCTCCAGGATCGCGCCCTGGGCCAAAGGCAGGCGCTAAACCGCTGCGCCACCCAGGGATCCCCAGTCTTTCACTTTAATCTTTTACTGCCAACTTTTGATAAATGATCTGTTCTGTCATGACTCAAAATTCCTACATCTTGTGGCGCCTAGATGGCACAGTCAGTTAAGCATCTGACTTGGTTTCAGCTCAGGTCGTGATCTCAGGATCAAGAGGTGGAGCCCCGCCGAGCTTTGGGGTCTCCTTAGAGTCTGCTTAGAGTTTCTCTCCCCCTCTCCCTCTGCCCTTCCCTCCCACATTTGTGCACCTGAGGGCTCTCTCTTCCTCCCTCCCTCCCTATCTCTCAAATAAATAAATCTTTTAAAAAATTCCTGCATCTTCTTAACTCATTTCTTCAGCACCCCCACATACAATAATACTCTACCTTTACAAATTCCCATCACTTAAAACCAAACAGTATTGGGGTGTGTAGCTGGCTCAGTCAGTTAAACCAAGACTCTTGGTTTCAATTCAGGTCATGATCTCAGTGTCCTGGGATCAAGCCTCACATTGGGCTCTGCATTCAGTATGGAGTCTGATCGAGTATTCTCTCTCCTCCTCTGCTCCTTCCCTCTGTGAGCACTTACATGCATGCACTCTCTCAAAGATACGTAAATATTTAAAAAACAAAAACAGGGCAGCCCGGGTGGCTCAGCGGTTTAGCACCGCCTTCAGCCCGGGATGTGATCCTGGAGACCTGGGATCGAGTCCCACGTTGGGCACCTTGCATGGAGTCTGCTTCTCCTTCTGCCTGTGTCTCTGCCTCTCTCTCTCATGAATAAATAAATGAAAAATCTTTAAAAAACAAAACAAAACAGAACTACACAGTCTTAATTCTGTTGCCTTTTCCTTCTCATTGGCCTTGGTATAGGTTTTTGCCTCATGTCTCACATTCTGCTTAACCTTTTCTGTCAGTTCATACTTTAGTGTTTTCTTGTGAAGTATAATCCAAACTGAACCTGCTTCTGGTACTTTTTGGACTTTATATCCTTTGACTTCCCTTTATATCCCACATTTTTAGCCAAACGTATGGATACATACAGGCCTTTTCCCCCCTGCTTCCTAAATTGCAGATTCCCCTTTCTCTCTCTTTCCCTGTCATTCATCGCAGAGGCCAAAAGTGATCTTTCAAGGCTCAATTCAGATACCTCCTCTAACTAGCTAGTTTCTCTTAATCTCATATAATTAAGATTTGCTTTCTTATGGAACTTAATTATAACCCAAAGAAGACTACAAATTCCTTCAGGGAAGAATCACTGTCTTAATGAAAAAAAAAAAAAAAAAAAAGAATCACTGTCTTATTTCTCTGTTATGCTTCTAGAAAGTACTTTATGCACATCATTAAAGAAAAAAGATGCAGTTAACTGCATCATTAAAGATGATTGATGAATAAATTTGGCCATTCTAGTGACTGGCTCATTGTCATTCCTCAGTGCAGCTCAAAGTCTCTCTTAGAAGTTTTCCCTAGCCACTCTCTTTTCTGTAGCTACTTCCCCTCTCTCTTCATCATACTATCCTGCTATCTTGTGTATTATTCCATTGTATTAATCACAGTGGGTCTTTTTATTTTTTACTTGTTTGTCTTCCTTCACCAGGAATATATGTTGATAAGGTTGGTGACTTTGAGTCGTCTTCTCTACGGTATATCTAAGCCCCAGACCAGTGGTTGGCTCTGAAAAAATATTATTAAATTTTTGCTCATGCTCATTTTACCTGTCTGAGGCATTGTTTTTATTCAAAACCTTCCCTGATTCCAAAATGTGAAATAGAAGCTCTTCTAAGTTGAGAGGAAAATAATTCTAGTATTAAGACCATAAAGGTCTAGATAGACCTCCTCAATCCTTGGATATAGAAACTGACATGACACTGGGAGGATTTAACTGCCAACATTAACATCTAGAGCTGGGAGGCTGGCTTCCAGTCATCTCACCCAGTCCTTTGCCCACTCTGCCACATGACTCTGATCCTTTTCACCAGGAATCTTGTCATTTCAACCCCAGGATCCCTTGGTCCTTCCACTAATTTCCCAATTAATTCTGCCTTAAATACATTGGGAGAAGTGGTAGAGCTTAAACTATTAACTTTTTTTTATTAATCCTGTAAACTCGCTGAAGCTAACAGTTCTCATTTTTAAAGATCTTTTTTCCTCTCCCCAGAAAAGCACTTGGTCCTGCTTCGAGATGGAAGGACGCTTATAGGTTTTTTAAGAAGCATTGATCAATTTGGTATGTACTAGTATTAGACTTATACTCTGAATAATAAGAGCTGCTTTTGTATGTTTGTGTTATTAAATGTTGACATTAATCCTGCAACTTTTTCAAGTGTCTGGCATAATGGAATACTGTTTTTGAGTCATTATGTCCTTTTTTTTCTAAACTACGATCAGGTGATTCAAAAGTTAGTATTTACAAGCTTGTATTTCTTTTTTGTTTTTTGTTTTTGTTTTTGTTTCAAGCTTGTATTTCTAAAACTGGTTTTCACTAGAACATAGGATTACAATGTTTTGGACTGTTTTTTATTTTCCCCAGTAGAGGGAGCCAAACGATAGAAATAAACTCAGGCCACTGAAAAAGCTGCTCATTTGTACATTGGCTTGGGTGCGACTATTCTTCAGAGCAGTTCCTGCACTGAAGGTAATCCCCCTTGTCCAATGAAAATTGTATAGAAAGCATTTCCTGAACTTTTTGGGGGTCCCAACTTTAAGCTCAAGATTTTCACTTGAGAGATACAGCAGACCCAAAAGAGTCTCAGTCTTTGTTTTGCATCTTGCATTTTTCTAAAGAGATCTATATTTGCTTCTGTTTCAAGGAGCTTCTCAGTTCATATCAACATTCGTTGGACATTTCCTAATGGATTTGGGCATAAGGAAAAGCAACATAATTGAAACAGGAATTACAGAAGATAGCAGAGATATTTGCTTTTCTTCAAATGAGACAAATATCAATTTAAAAATAATAATAATTATTCTTAACAGACTGGGGTTCTGAATCTTTTGTCAAATTCATCAAAAAACCTTGGGGGAAAAGTAGCAAATACTGACTTTATTCTCACATTACCAGGTACTGTTATCTCACAAAGTGAAAAGAGGTTTTTGTGTATCATAATCCATGGATACCTGCACTGGGTTAAATGAATCCTAAGTACTGAAACAAAGTTAAATCTTTGGTAAATCACCATATACACAAACCTACACAACAAAGGAAAACTTGTTTTTTTGTCTAAAAACGAATTTTGACCTCTCCAGTTGTTTAGGCTTTAGATTCTTCCAAGTATCCCGGTTATTTATATTTTCTTATAATCACATCAATAGTCACAATCTCACTGATGTAAAGGAATTTAATTCTTGTAACTGGTCCCCACCATCATTCATGTTAATGCAACATAATACCCAATACTCTCTCAGTTTCCAGCGGTTTAGGAGTCTCCTAAGTGGTGTGTCTTAATGAAACAGAAGAAGACTATTCAAAATTTTAGCTTTTCCCGGAATTAGAAAGTTTGGAGATCATGTTTAGCAAAATCTTTTCTACTCAAAATAACTGATTATTGGAGTAACAGACCTTTACCCAATAATTTAAACTAAATATCTTTATTTCTTCCCTATACACTTATAGCTAATTTAGTGCTACATCAGACTGTGGAGCGTATTCATGTGGGCAAAAAATACGGTGATATTCCTCGAGGGATTTTTGTGGTCAGAGGAGAAAATGTGGTCCTACTAGGAGAAATAGTAAGTGAAAATTGTTAAGCTGCTGTGGGTCTTCATAATTATGCTAGCTAGGTTTCTTTTTCTTTTCAAGAAGGAAAAAGTATGTTTTCCACATTGCATCCAGCTTCTAGCAGAAACTAGCACATTAGTTCAGGAGAGCTACAGACGTAAAAGGAAAACTAGAGAGAATAATTAACTTTGTTTCAGTGCCACTTGGCATTTTAAAGATTTTGATCCCATTAGCAACAAAGTATTGTTGATTTTACCTGATATAAAAATGCCATACTGTAAAAACATGTTCATTAATGTTATTTCTGCTATCTCTTAACAGCAGAAAATTTAAAAACTTAATACCTAACAAGAGGTGAATAATTAATAAAGTATGATTTATGTGCATTGGAATTTTTTTTTTAAGATTTTATTTATTTACTCATGAGAGAGACAGAGACAGAGACAGAGGCAGAGACAGAGACACAGGCAGAGGGAGAAGCAGGCTCCCTGTAGGGAGCCGGCCAGGAATCATGCCCTGGGCCAAAGGCAGACGCTCAATTGGAATGTTTTGCAGTCATTTAAACAATTGGTTACAAGTAGATTTTCATGACCTAGAGCTACTGAGCAATGCTTGAGGGAAAGACACATTGCATATACATTGTGATGTTCCTGTCTTTTAAAGGGGGGAAGGGGAAAGAAAGAAGGGGCCTATAGGAAAAGCCTCTCTGTTAACTCCTGAGAATGGAGCTCAGCCTCCGTTGGATCATAGCTCACAACCAAAGAGGATACCTCTATACCTATGCCAGGAAGACCAGTTGGCAGGTGAAAAGTTAAGTCTTCTAAAATGTTGTTCCTGTAGGTCTGTGTGTGTGTATGGGTATGTACATGTACATACCCATACATATACACTTGTCTATATGTAGGCTTATATAAATACATACAAAAGTATTAGAAAACTTATATAGCTAATAGATGTACTCAGACTTGGTGAGGTTTTTGGCTTTTTAAGTTTTTATTTTAATTCCAATTAACATACAGTAGTTTTTTGATTTTTTTTTATAAAGATTTTATTTTTAAGTAATTTCTATACCCAGTATGGGGCTTGAACTCACAACCCCAAGATCAAGAGGTACATGCTCCTCCAAATGAGTCACCCAGGTGCCCCAGCATACAGTATTATTTTAGTTTCAGATGTCCAATACGGTGGTTCTCAGACATTTTTAAAAGAAGATAAAACTTGATTATCATATTTTACATAAAATATTTACTAAAAAAAATACAAAAAAAAAAAAAAAACAAGAAAAATACCTAGTTTAAAACCTTTGGCTTTGCTTTGATTATTGGGTTTGCCAGGAAAATTAAACTAAAAAACTTTGGCATTTAACATTTTCAGTAGTTTCTCAATACCTAACCACATCTTATATCTGGTTTACAGAAGTCTTTGAAGTGAGGTGGTTTGGTCTGTAGAGATTTTTAACAATAAGCTGCCTGGAAAAGTAAGGAGATAATCTATGCCAGGCTCAGGTTGGCTCAGAGACTTCAAGTTGAAAACAGTTAGCTAGAGGTGACTAATCAATAGTGTTAATAGCAATATTGTTAAGTCCTGCTATGAAATGTAGAAAATAAGTTTTTCTAATTTTGAAAGTGTTTTTGTGATTGATAATTTTGGTTCAGTAGATCATTTTTCGCATGTTTCAGCTGTAGGAATTGTCATCTCGTTGTAACATGTAGAGGTTGAAATACAGCACCGTGAGGTGTGGGGAGTTGGCAGTAGTAAAGGACTACAAAGTAAAGTGCTCTTCTGCCAGTATATAAAGAAGGGCTAACCCATCTCTGGACAGTAGGAGTATGGGTGATTTTTTTTTTTCTTTTGTTTATACTTTTCTCAATTTTTAAAGAGGAAACATGACTTGCTATCAGGAAAAAAAGATTTAAGTTAAAATATTTACACATACTCTGCTTCAGTTTTTTTTAGTTGTAGACACCACAAATGCTTTGTGTGCCAGTTGCATTGGCACAAATGTGCCCCTGTGTAGATGTATATGTATGTGAGGAGAGGGAGGGAACTTGAATTTGTTCGTGAAGATTCGTTGTTTCCTGGGAGTTCCTTTGTGGAGAAAGTACTCTTGAATGGTAATGGTTTGGATGCTGCAGAATTTTACAGTGGTACGGCTATAAGCCTTGTGGTTCAGAATGGTTACACAGCTGTAGGAACCAATCAATAGTCAGTGTGAAGAAATTAAGTACCCACCCGAGAGAAACTCATACCCAGAAACCATTTAGAGTCTGTAAACATCTGTTGTTTAGGAAGTCCCTAGATTCTGCCTCAAGGATGATGATGCACACAGCCTTAAGTAATAAAACTGATTGTTGGAAATTGGCATCATCATAACCACATGAACAACTCAATGAATAACATACTGAAAAGTCCAAGAGGCAGTATACCATGCCAAGAACATTGTCTTCCCTTCAGCTGCTACACATGGGTTGTTAGGGCTGGTTATACTTAATAAGATACATTTTGCCCAGGGCAGCTAACATTCGAGCCAAGGCAGGGCTTGCTTATATAATTTGTGTGGCTTTCATTCTAATCTCTCTGGTGAAGATCTTCCACCTGATGTCACTGCCTGTGGGTTCTGAGGCCTTGGCAACACATGTGGTGTTAGTACCCAGCAGTAGGGTGGACTGTCCTGAGGGTTTGTGTGTTGATGCCTTCCCAGAATTTTAAGACTGAAAATCATAGAAAAAAGATAAGAAATAAGAATATCCCATATATATATAGTCTTTCCATGTTACAGAAACACAGAATAATGCCTGTATGTTCATTTTAAGGAGAATAAGTTGACTCTATGGATAGTGAGATGCTTTTATAGCAAGGTTCTGCAGCATAAGATTAGTTACCAAATATTTGTATGGTGTTCAAACATAAAAATATTAAGCATAGGAGCACCTGGGTGGCTTAGTTGGTTGAACATCCAACTCTTGATCTCAGCTCAGGTCTTGATATCAGCCCCATGCTGGGCTCTGTGCCGGATGTGGAGCCTACTTTAAAAAAAAATTAAGTGTCTTATGCCAGAGTAAGTGAAAAAATTACAATTAATAGCTTTGTGGGGTTTCAAGTCAATATATACATGGAAAAATAGAAAGCTATTCACCAAAATATTGTTTCATACTAGAATTATGGGTAATTTTCTGCTTGTCCGTTTTCTAAATTTCATACAGTACACGTGTGTTTTTAAAATAACAGGAAAAAATGACTTTTTTAAAAACAAAAATACTGTAATTAAAACAGTGGAGAAATAAATATATTAGAGTGAAACTAGTTTAGTGACCTAACCGGTCTACTAAGGTTTTCTGTAGATTTGTTGCCATAGAGGGGGAAAGAATCTTGCTTTATGATTTAAAGCCTCCTGGTTAATGGAACAGAGGGGCAGTTTATTCTCTTTGGGTGAGGGGTGCTTCTTTGAATCACTGTTCTCTACCTTCTTAGTGAGCCAAAACCCCCAGGCATTAAGCTGACTTTGATCATGTAAAAATACAAAACTTACTTAAAGCCATCTTGCCCTCAGTAACTTCTCTTTTGGATCCTTTGGGGTTGGGGAGACAGCTATTCATGCATATATATGAATATGTAATTTTTTTTAAGAAAAGCAGTCTTTGAGTATTGTAGGACTGCAGGTAACTTAAAGCTCTGTGATACACACTGATAGCGATCCCTACCACCACATTCATATAAGTATGTATTTTGTAGTAGTGTGGCCATCCATTTCTCTAGGAAGCTTCTCTGTCCCCCAGAAAAGGATATTTCAGCCATGTAACAATTATGATAAATAACCCAAGCCTGACATAGGAATCCATTTGCCTAATGGTCTGTAATGTTTTCTATTCTTGGTTGTCAGTTGAAGTTTTTCAACCCTGCTTATTTTGTAGGACTTGGAAAAGGAGAGTGACACACCCCTCCAGCAAGTGTCTATTGAAGAAATCCTAGAAGAACAAAGGGTAGAACAGCAGACCAAGCTGGAAGCTGAGAAGCTGAAAGTTCAAGCTCTGAAGGATCGGGGTCTCTCCATTCCTCGGGCAGATACCCTTGATGAGTATTAATCATTTGCTCAGAGGCTGTTGCTTCTGGGGAGCAAGGCTGTCACTGAATGAAAGTGACATTCTGATCACCTCACTCATTTGACTAGAGACTGTAGAGTATTGAAAAGTCCTCTTTGAGTTCTTTCACATGAACAAGATGAAATCACCTTCCCCCCCTTTTTAATGACAAAAATCATTGTTTAAAAAAAAAAAAAAACAGAGGCAAGGATCCTTTGACACATCATTTTGATCACTGTGGAGCTGGCAACCCTGCTTTATGTTGCCTTTCTTGTCTCAAATTAGTGTTCACAGGAGACATTCTCCGTTTACTTGTAAATAAAATAATCTGAAAACTCATGTTATTTCCTAAGTTGAGTTGCCTCCAATGAATAGATAAAATTAAGTTTCTGCTCTCAAAGGTATAAGCTGTCCACACTGGGATTTCTCCCTTCAGCGACAATTCCAATTTGCTAGTTGCTTATGAAGGAGTATTTTCATCCTAAATATCTTGCAGGTCTTCCCCTCTCCCCTTTTCATATTTTTGTCTAATAAGAAAAACACCTTTTCTTGAAGTGTGGAGGAGCTCAAGGGCTTGAGGAGGCTTGAGGAAGGAGCTTTCAGTGAAGTTTTACAGTTAACTGATGGTATCAGAAGCCTCGGTTTTGAGAAACAGCATTACAACCATACTTGCTGTTACTGCTTCACCAACAGCCAGTCCAAACTGCGTTCCCATGAGACCCAGCACTTTACTAAGGTGACTTTTTCTCCAAATCTTCTGTTAATTTGGTTAGATTTTCTGGTTCTTGGGATTGTGTCTTGAGCCTCTTGTGCTGTCATCATAAAGGAGCAGAAACTAAGTGGTGTTTCAGGGACTGGTAATCTAGGTTATTTTTGGCTGATGACCTAGGAAGATGGTATGATGTTGACTGCCCGGATGTATAACATACCGATTTCAAGAGTGCAGGGTAGTGTTGGGCAGTGTACCAAACGAGGAGTTCAGACACGTCAGACACGTCAGGAGAGACACTGTTCTCTCTCAGTTCCCCTCTCTGACTCTTGGGTTTTATTTTGTTGTGTTGTGTTTTTTTTTTTTTTTTTTTTAAGATTTTATTTAACAGAGGGATCCCTGGGTGGCTCAGCAGTTTGGCACCTGCCTTTGGCCCAGGGCACGATCCTGGAGTCCCAGGATCGAGTCCTGCATCAGGCTCCCGGCATGGAACCTGCTTCTCCCTCTGCCTGTGTCTCTGCCTCTCTCTCTCTCTCTCTCTCTCTCTCTCTCTCTCTCTCTCTCTCTCTGTCTACCATGAACAAATAAATAAATAAAATTTTTTAAGATTTATTTAAGAGAGAAAGAAATAATGAATGGCGGGGAAGAGCAGAGGCAGAGAGAGCAAGGAGCCTGATGGGGGGCTTGATCCCAGGACCTGGAGATCATGACCCAAGCCAAAGACAGATATTTAGCCGACTGAGCCACCCAAGCACCTCTCTCAGTTTTTTTAACTGTAGAATTACAGTTAATTCAGTTACAATTAATTCAATTAATTGAATTCAATTACAGTTAATTCAGAATTACACTTAATAAAGAATAATTTTCTTTTTATGGCATGTTGACCAAAGACATCCTTTTCCTTTTCATAAGATACTTAAATCCACTTCTTCCACTCCTGTGTCTGAATTACTGATAGTATTAAGTGTACTTAATGTTTTGTCAGGTGTTTTTAAAATTACCCCCAAATACCTATCAACCATTTGACTGCTGAGCTATTCATCATTGGGTTGGTTTTAAAGTAGATAATTTGTAAAGAAACTGTTGCATGTAATGATGCATCTAGTTCTTGCCTCTAATCTTAAAGTTTAATACCCAGAATTTGTTATTAACACACCAGAAAGGGACAAGGCCCAGCACCAACCTTTGACAAGCATGTGTCACTTTAACTACGAGAAGATACTGAGAGTCCAACAGAAGTACATTTTTTTTCCCCAAGCACCACTGTTTCCGAACCTCTGACACCTTTAAGAAATCTGGATTCACTATAGTTATCTTCTTATTTTCAATCTCCTTCAAACGATTCCAAAGGCAGTAACAAGAGTTATGGCTTATGAGCAAAAAGGACATTATATCCTCAATAGAATTTCTTGGCCTTAGCAGGTTTTGATCATTGCTTCCTGACCTTAGTCACACAGGCAGCAGCTAAGAATTATACTGAAAGGATGAAACTGGACTACCTGCTTCCTTCTTCAGTCTCCAGGCTGCTCAGTACAATGGTTGCCCTCTGCTCTGCCTGGCCCAACCTTTTTTGCAGATACTGAAAGCTGGTGCTTTTTCTCCTGGACCATTGCTGGCACACTCTTCTATTAGATTTCAGACTCCACCTCAGTTCATACTTTATTATCTTTAATAATTTCTTCAGGGACACCTGGGTGGTTCAGCTGGTTAAGCATCTGCCTTCAGCTTGGGTGATGATACCCAAGTCCAGAGATTGAGCCCCACATGGGGCTCTCTGCTCAGCAAGGAGTCTACTTTTCCCTCTCCTCTGCAGCTCCCCCTGCTAGTGAGCTCTCTCTTTATCTCTCTTTCTGCCTCTCAAATAAATAAGTAAAATCTTTTTTTTTTTAATGTTTATTTATTTATGATAGTCACATAGAATGAGAGAGAGAGAGAGGCAGAGACACAGGCAGAGGGAGAAGCAGGCTCCATGCACCGGGAGCCCGACGTGGGATTCGATCCCGGGTCTCCAGGATCGCGCCCTGGGCCAAAGGCAGGCGCTAAACCGCTGCACCACCCAGGGATCCCCTAAGTAAAATCTTAAAAACAAAGTTTCTTCCAATAGGGTTTCCCATGACACTGCTTTTTAGGAAAACCAATAAGGATGATCTACCAAAGCCCCTTTCCTGTCCATCTTTAATCTGATAAAATTGAGTTCAAAAGCATATCTCTCTCTCTCTTAGCTGTTCTTTTTCCCTTTCCTTGGCTCTTGATCTTATGTTACATGCTCCTAGCTTGTTTAAACCACAGCCTTGAGGCACCTGGGTGGCTCAGTCAGTTGAGTGTCTGCCTAGAGTCTTGGGATCCCACATTAGGCTCCCTGCTTAGCAGGGAGTCTGCTTCTCCCTCTGCCCCCCACCCCGCTCCTCTCTCTCTCTCTCTCCCCCCCACCAAATAAATAAATAAATAAAATCTTTTAAAAATTAAATAAAATCACAATCTTCCCCCAGCTCTGATAAGCTAACAGGCCCTGGCCCTGGATACTTAGTAGAGCCAAATAGTCTCACACTGTCCAGTGTACAAGGTTTTTCAGGGAAGCCATATCAGGCTGAATCCCAGAGGTATTGCACAGAGTTGAAGGTGGCTGGAAAGTGGTCTTGTTTTGCTCCCAAAAGTAGAGGCTGGCAGGCTCAGGCAGACGCACTGGGCAACCTGTAGTCTCGGAGCCATACAGGAGATTCATGGCAGCACTGCACAGCTCCAGAGCCAATCCCAGGAATTGTACTGGGCAAGAAAATACTAGAAGGGAGATAGTTAACAGTTCCATACCCCTATTCTCCTCCCAAGCAAGTTATACATACGTACCTATCTGTGGGTTATCTGTCACCTTTCAAAAGGCATGCTACAAGATGAGCTCTATCCCACTTTTCCTGTTAGGAGCCAGGATTCCCTGTGAGGTACAAAGAAGGCATCCTGGTGGTAGATGTTGCAGGCTGATGCTCCAATGCTGAAACAACCCTCCAGCTTTAAGCTAAAACCAACCCTGCTAGTTAATCAAGGAAAGAGTAGCAGGAGAGTTGTCTTGAGCTGTTACTGTGGGGTTAATGTGAGCTGAGCAGGAAATATCAGCTGTGATAAAAGCTCACATGCACACATGCTCTACCAATGCAGTTGATTCCTAAAGGTGACAAACAATAGAGGGGTTAGGAACACACCCTCCTGTACACAGTCAAAAATCCCCATGTAACTCCTGACTCCCCAAAAACTTAACTACTAAGAGCCTACTGTTGACTGGAGGCCTTATGAATAACAAACACTTGATTAACATATTTTTTTAAAGATTTTATTTATTTATGATAGACATAGAGGCAGAGACAGGCAGAGGGAGAGGCAGGCTCCATGCTGGGAGACAGACGTGGGACTTGATCCCGGGACTCCAGGATTGCGCCCTGGGCCAAAGGCAGGCGCTAAACCGCTGAGCCACCCAGGGATCCCCTGATTAACATATTTTGTATATTATATGTATTATATACTGTATTCTTGCAATAAAGTAGGCTAGAGAAAATGTTAGTAAAAAATCACACAAGGGGGGGGCCTGGGTGACTCAGCCAGTTAAGTGGCTGGCTCTTGGTTTTGACTCAGGTCCTGCCATCTAACCCCATGCTGGGACTGAGCGCTGTGTTGGGTGCCCGAGCTCAGAAAGGAATCTATTTGAGGATTCTTTCTCCCTTTCCCTCCCCTCTCCCTCTTTCTGAAATAAAAAGTCATAAAAGAAAATACATTTACAGTACTATATTAGATTTATCAAAATAACCACTTATAAGTGTGCCTGCATAATTCAAACACGTTGTTCAAGAGTCAACTGTACAAAAAACAAAAAGTCAACTGTAAATTAAATCCAAGAGATGCCAGGTTTTTGCCAGTGAGACTGAACATGACAACTGGACCCACCAAGCAGCCAACAGGAGTAATTAGTAGAGATCCTTATACTTTTTTGTTTGTAAAATTTATTTATTCATGAGAGAGAGGGGCAGAGACACAGGCAGAGGGAGAAGCAGGCTCCATGCAGGGAGCCCTACCTGGGACTCCATCCCAGGTCTCCAGGATCACGCCCTGGACTGAAGGTGGCGCTAAACCACTGAGCCACCGGGGCTGCCCAAGATCCTTATGCTGAATGTGGAGACATGCTCTTACTGTGGGGCAGCCTTCACCGCAGACCACAGCCCTTCAGGTGTAAGGAATGGAGATACATGGTGTAAAAAAATGTGTGGAAGAGCATCCCAGAGAAACATGGACTTTGGGAGTAGGGGAGGACTTGTCAAGGTTGTTGGAAGAAAAGAATATACTCTTCAGCTTGTTTTCCTTTCAACAGCAGCCCCCTACTCCCATCTTGCAGATCACCCTCCAGTGCCCCCTGGATCATCCTCCTGCGCCTCCCCTCCCCCCCCCCCACCATGGAGAGCAAGAGACTTCATAGCTGCCACTTGGCTGGACCCAGCGGTAGGAAACGGCCTCAGATGCTGCTGCTCTGGGCAGCTAGCTAGCCTGTAGCAAGGACAAAAAGAACAAGGGCTCAGTGTATCTCAAGGTTATATATCCAGATGGCCTGAGAATTTATCTCTAAGATTTTACTCTCAGTAAAATCCCCTCT